GCGAAATGAAAAAGAAACAAAAAAAATGAAAAAAAAAAGATAATGTTTTAAAGAGCTTCAAATCATTGTTGTTTCTTTAATTCTTGTGCGTATTTTGTTGGTTTTCTTCTTGTTGCGGCTGGTATTATCCCCCTCCCCCTTTTTTTTTACCTTTGTACTCATCTCGTCATTTTTTTTTTTCCGTTGGATACACATATGCCCCCCCATCGGGACATATGTTTGTGTGTGTGTGTGTGCTTAATGTGTGAAATATGTGCGTGTGAGTGTGTGGTGGATGTGTGGTATTCGTGCGGCGTCCGTGGGAGGCATTCTATGGCGTCACGCCTGCGTGTGCGGGTGAGAGGTGTACACTTGGGTGCGTTGACATTCACACATACACATACACACCGGACATACATATATTCAACTTTTTTTTTGTTTGTCTTGTGTTTTTTTCTCTCTTTTTTTTTATCTCATACACGCTTTATATCTCTTTACCTTATCTCAGTTCTGTGCTGGTTCATATGCTTACCTCATCTCTCTTTGCCCTCTCGTGTGGCCGGCACCACCGTCCTCACAACATAAGAAACACCATGGACGGGGCGACGCGCCGTCCAGAGGTACAAGAAAAAGAGAGGGAAAGAAAAAAAAAAAAAAAATAGATATGGAGCAGAAATATAAAACTTTTTTTTGTTTTTTGTTTTAATGCGGAAAAAAAAAAAAGATTTTTTGAGCGATGGACGACACCCTCCTTGTTTTCTTTATTGTTTACGCTAAGCTGAAAAAAAAAAAAACTTGAATTTGGCGCTGCGTGCGGAATACAGCTATTTTTTATTTTGTCCTTTCGTCACTGGCTTCTGACTTTTTTTTCTCCATTTTTTTTTTTTTTTTTTCTTGCAGCGATAAGAGCTGCAAGAGGGATTTGAAGAGGAAAAAAGAAAAAAAGAAAACTAAAAAGGGCAGCAGAAGGTAGGAATGCGTGCAGGCAAAAATAAAAGGTAACACACTTGTGTGGGCAACCATGCGTGTGTGTGGATGTCTGCATTCGTCCTCTTCCCCCCTCCTCCTCCTTTTTTTAAAACATTTTTTATTAGTACTATGCCCACTGCGATTGTTGACTTTGTACACCCTCTTCTGGTCACGTAGGAGGGAAAGATCCGAGGCCCTGCGGCGGCTCCGGATCATGTGCCCTCGAGCCAGGCTATATTGAACCTATGGGACGTCATGTGTCTTTCGTTGTTGTTTTTTTCTCTGTTTTTTTTCTTCTTCTTCTTCTGAAGTGCGCTACACACACCCACAATCTCGCGCATACACTGCAACCAGCTCCACCCTCTTCTCACGGCTGGAGCATAGAGTGGGGAGAGAGAACGAAGGGATTAGAAGCATAAATAGAGTAACTTGCCGCTACAGAGAAGAGGGACGATGTGGACACCGAAAAGTCCCAAACCACAATCAGAGAGTAGCACGTTCTACAGTAGGCTTAGAGATACACGGCAAATCAAGCTCCAGACGCGAGTGTGCCGCAATTTTGCCGTGGGACACTCCTGTTTATTTGGTGAACGTTGTGCCTTTTTGCATTTCTTTCCTGAACGATCCATTGTGCGTAGGAAAGACAGTGATATGCCACCACCGCCACCATACTCGGAAGTCGCCAAGGGGGCAACGGCACTGCCGCCCGCCTACCCGTCACGATTTCGTCACGACCCCTACAGACCCGAGGGTTTTGTTGTTGTGGCTGAAGAGTTTTTCACGGACGACGGGACCCAACACATACAGAGTCTTGGGGGGCATCATTTGTGAAAGTGCTATTTTTTTCTCCTTTTGCCTACAGTTTCCTTTAGTTTTTCACTGCTCTTTTTTTTTCTGTGTTTTTTTTTTACTGTTTTGTTCTTTTAAAATTCCCTCTTCCTTTGTCATGGTCAGTTCTTTCCACTCTCATGTTATTGTGCTGCCTTAACGCATGCTTGGGTTTCTCGTCCTTCCCTCCCTTTGTAAGAGAAACCAACAAGATGGAGCGCGAGAAGAAGAGGGAGGTTGCCATGTATACCACCTCCAACTCTTATACGAACGCACAAAAGCATAGCGGTTGAGCATCAATATATGTATATGTATATATACATATACATATATACATATGTCCATTACCCTATATAAGGTTGTTCCTTGTATGGAAGGAGGTTTGTAGGTTTTCTTTTGTGTATGTTTTTTTTCCTTGTTTTTTTTTGTTTTCCTTTGAAAAATAGGCCAGTCTTTCCTTTGCTGTGATTTTTACAAAATAGTTTGATGTACTTTGTTTGTTTGTTTTTACAAGTGGGACTCTGGAAAGCTGTGCGTACTCCAGATGCAAATGTGCGCTGTATATACGATGTGGTGTTTTATGCTGCTTTCTATAATATACACATGTGTATGTTTTTTTTTTATTGAGTTGTATTTCTGCTCTTTATATATATATATATATTATTGGCGTTGTTGTAAGTGGATTTCTTTGTGGTGATTTATTTTCCACTCTTTGGTGCAAGCATGTTTTATCCATAAAAGAAGCGAGAAGCATGTAAGCGATGTCGGTTATTGGACGAGTGTTTTTATCTTTTTTTTTTTTTTGCTTTTTTGTGGGTTTCGTTAGTTTGCTTGCTACATTCTCTGTGGCTGATCATGTGCCTTGATGTTCTTGAACCCCAAACACCCCCGCACACAGTCGTGTGTGTTACGTGTATGCACACATATAGTTACTGTTGTATATATACATATATATAGTCCACGTCATACTTCGTTTGCCTTAGGTTTTTTTTTGACGGATCCCTGGGAGAAAGTTGTATGTGTTTGCCTAATGAGGATGTCGTGCCTTTTCCAGCATCCATCTTGCCTCCCGTTTCTTGTGCAGACTTTTGTAACGACTTTTTTTGTTCACTCAGCTACGCACATACTGTTTTTTTTTCTCTTATCATTTCTCCTTCTTCTCTGCCCCTGCCGCTACTGCAGCCCAGGGATACAAAGACGAAGAGGTTAAATCACACTTTTATAGCCCCCAAATATAGCAAAATAAAGAAACCGAAGGAAGATTGAAGGGGTAACAAAAACAAGGAAATAGTCATTTTTTTCTTGTATTCTGTAGGAGACAGCTAATTGAGATAAATAAAATTATAAATATCTGCTGTCCCTCACCCCCAAGCCACCCTCGATTGCTATACATCAGCACAAGTGAGGTGGACGATACAGCAGGCAGAAACCGTCCAGTAAAGAAAAATATCAGAGAACAAAATAAGTAAAAGACAACCTTTAAAAGGATAAGACACAGCGGGGACAATCGTGGGGATAATGTCGTACAGTAACTTGTTTGTGGCGAAACTCCCCAGAAACCTGAACGACGCGGAGCTGGAGCAAATCTTTGCAGAGTACAATCCCATCAGTGCCAAGGTGATGCTGGATGCCTCCACGGGGAAAAGTAAAGGTTTTGGTTTTGTCCTCTTTAACACCGAGGAGGAGGGAAGGAGGGCATACAAAAATCTTAACCGAAAGAGCACCAAGGCATGCCGTCACAACTTTAATTTGGTAATTTACCCCTCACAGCACACTGGGAAAGCTGCTGTCTCCCCCTCCAATGCTCTATACATTCGCAACGTTCCTATCACAGTCCCACGGGCGCAGGTGGAGAGGTTTTTGTCAGCGTTTGGCACCCTGACTTACTGCGCAATGCGGGCAGACCATTACGGCAATCCCGTATGGGTTATATACGCCGAGTACGACTGCCTAGATTGCTCCAAGAATGCCCTTCAGAAGTTGCATGGTAATTCAGAACACTTTAATGGGCCT